GTCTCGCGTCTGGCGGCGCTTTCGGCTGCCCCCTCCCTCGCTCGGCTGCCCCTCTGGCCCTGCTCTCTGCTCCAGCCAAATTCAGAGCTGGGGTGGGTCGGGGTTTTTTCTAGTGTTGAAGGAAAATAAGGTAAGACAAATACTCCTGCCCTGTGTTCTGTTGTGCAGAATTTGAATTTGCACATACGATTTCTTTTTGATTTAATCACCCTTTTTCCCCCTCTCTCTTTCTCTGTGAAACCTTCCTCGTTTTAGACTTGTTCAACAGTGTTCTCCCATAGCATTTTTACCTCTTAAAATGATGAACTAAGCTGACACGTAGGGGAATACATATGAGGACAGAGAGTTCCAACCGCTTTCCGTCCCCTAGCGAAGCTGCTGGCCTTGCTCAGGCCAGCTGGGGACATCCAAGCTCAGCCATAGCTCCTTGCTGGACGGCCCACGGGCGCTGCACGCAGGACAGAGAGTTTTAACCGCTTTCCGTCCCCTAGCGAAGCTGCTGGCCTTGCTCAGGCCGGCTGGGGACATCCAAGCTCAGCCATAGCTCCTTGCTGGACGGCCCACAGGTGCTGCAAGCTGTGGCTGCCCCACATCCCACAGCACAGCTACTCTGTGGCCACCACCCTCTGCCGGAGCAGCCTCTGCCGCTCGCCCCATCCCCGGCCGCAGCAGGCTGCTTCGGGCCGTGGCCAATGTCCATCGCTGCCTTCAGACTGGTGTCAGCTGCCTTTAAGGGGAGCTGAACTGGGCGCCTCCTCACAAACCTGCTTGATGAAGACCAGCTTGTTGTTTCTTTCATTTATTGCTGTAGCAGGGAGCACCTTTTTTCTTGCAAGCAAGTTTCGCTCTAGGTTAAACACAGAGCTGAGGAGCTGAGCCTGTCACTTGCTTTCAGAAACAGTTGGTAATACTTTCAGCCAAAAGATTGGATTTCCCTTTTCAACTCCATGTCAAGTACTAGCTGGGCAAAACTACTAAAGGTGCGAACCATGTGATGGCCGTGCGGTGTGCCATGGACCGAGCAAAAGCAGTGAATTGCCATCACGTTTGAATGGGCTGGTCTTGCCGCTCTGGGACTTGCGTGCCCTTACGCTCCTGCGGTTGTGCATTGTGGGATGGGGTCCTGGAGAGGCTCAAGGACTCTCCAGGCAAATATTTCCTCTGATGGCACTTAGGGATCGGTATGTGACGAAGGAAGATCCCAGAGAGAGAAACGACGTGACATAAGTGAAAGCTACTTAGTGTTTTAGCGTAACGGTTTCATGTGAGGAGGCTCCTAATCTCACTTGTCACGTCACCAGCAGCGTATTTGAAAATAAAACGCACACGGCTTGTAGGCGTTTCCCCCTCTGGGGCCCAAGTGCTGTGACAAAGCGCGGTGCAGCGGAGGGCACAGCAGGTCAGCGCCGAGGTGGCAGAGGGGAATAGGGAGGAACCCACACCGTCCGTGTTTGTGTTTTTTCTTGGCACCGCCAGCACCATTTCTCCCTTAGCTACATGACTGCTAAAAATAATCGCCTCAAATTAATAGCTTATGTTTGTGTTAAACTGTTAGACTTGCATTGGTCACTCCAACACCGCACACCGAAACTGCTGCTTATTGCACATTTATAGCTTCAGCCAGATGCCTTGAGGTTTCTTTTGGGTAGCTGAAGTCAGACGGATAGTACCGACTGCACACGTTTTTTGCTTTTTCCGAGGGCAGCGTTTCCTCTAATTAAAAAGAACAATCAACTTGTTGGAGTTGGATTTTACAGCTTACAAATCACTAGCGGTCTGCCCCTGCTGGGGTACTGGCAAGATTCGCAAATTCGGCTGCCCTCAGGTCAGGCTGGCGTCTGCCTACTGAGAGGGGGGTTGTCTCCTCACCTGCGCCCCCGGGACAGCCTGGCGAGGCTGCTGGCGAGCGCTGTGGGCTCGGTGCTTCACGAGGGATCAGGCACAGTCATTTCCGTGGATGTCCATCGGCTGGAGAGCCCGCGTTTCTGCCCCTTGTTC